GCCCAGGAGTTGGAGGTTGCTGTGAGCTGTGATGCCACAGCACTCTACCCAGGGGGACAGCTTGAGGCTCCGTCTCAAAAAAAAAAAAAAAAAAATGTTTAACAGTGATTACCCCCGGACAACTTCCTTCTGTATTTTTCAGATTTTCTACAATACACCTGTAATAATTTGTAATGGCTAGAAGAGATGCAGGTGGGGGTCCTAACTTTCAGCAATATGAGGTCAGGTGGTGTTGCCTGTTCACTATTGGTCTGTGCCTTTGTATCACCGCAATCCCAAGAGTTAAGATGAGGTTGTATAAGGGCTGCAATCCTGAACCCAGAGGAAAGATCACTAGACTCTGGCTAGATGAGAAATGTAATGGACTGGGTCCCTATCTTATACGACCCTGGGAAACAGAGCTGTCTGGTGGATCCAGTCTCTGAACTCCTTTATAGAGGGCACTACAAGTGCCTTATAAATGTTCCACCCCGATGCCTTCCCCATCCTAGTCCTCCGGCAAAGCTATCTCCCCCCAACCCCTCTCTGGCACCGGGGTCTCTGCCACAATCCACCAACCAATTCCCAAAGCAATCTTTCTGCTCCCACCGCCCGCAAAGTGATTTCCCTTTCCTCTCAACTTCCAAGCCTCAAAACCAGGACTGCTCTCCATCCTAAGTTCGCAGGAGTTTCTCTTACTTGCAAGCAGCCAAACGCGCGAAAAGCGCAAACGCTGACAGCCGCTTCTCCCGGGTGGCGGGAGATTTCGTACGGAACCGGAAGCGAAAGCGAGCGGCGCGGAAGACCCGCCCCCCTGCGTCCCGCCCACCCCCCTCCCGGCGTCCCGCCCCCCATCCCGGCCCCCGACTTCCGGTCCTCCCACTCCGGGCTGGGCTGGCGCGCGCGGCGTTTCGCGGCCTCGGGGTTTCACCCGCTCCACCAGCTTTCAAAAAATTGAATGTGAGTGTTTTGGGAGATATCTTTCCCAGAAAACTTTAAGGGGCACCTCCTGTATGTGGAGTCGGTAACTTTTGACAGTTGAAACTAGGGTGGAGGAATGCTGACAATGGCAGCTAAACTTCCACACGCGGGAGATGGGACCTCTATAACTTTGCTTGGGCCACCAGCAGAGATTCCACTACTGGAGGATAATGTGGCGCTGTAACTCGCAGGACTGGCGCCGTCAGTTTCTGCCTGGGGGCGGAATGGAGGCAGAATGGGCACTAAGATCATTTGTGCACCTGACTCACTATTACCTCGTTTAATCTTTCATTGACCCCCATTTTGCAGATGAGAATACCGGAGCTACACGGTAATTATTAGTTTGCCCATCTACGTACACATTTTGATTTTCCTGTTGGACGGCAAGCTGTATGTGGGCAGCTTCCAATTCGGTTCACTCCTCCCTCCCCTGCAATGCCTGCCACATGTAAGCGCTCAGCGAGGTATCTGTACAATGAACTGGAATGTGTGAATGAAAGCACACTCTCAGAAATCACTCCAGGTCTGCAGGAATTAAAAGAGCTAGGCTCAGAGGAAGGTAGGGTTCGAGAAGTGGAAGCGCTGGGGAGAAAGGATGTGCCGCTGGCTTTCCAGATGTCAGACTGCAGACTCAGAAGCAGCGCGTCAGAGCCACTGCAGCCCTTCTAGCGCTGTCTGCAAGGTTTTCAAATACTGGAAATAAACTTCACTTGTGGCCTCTAGGAGGTGTGTCTCACTGACAGAAGATAGAGGGAGGCCCTGGTAAAGGTAGTCATTGGAAATGAAGAGTCCCACCCAGCATGGACTTAACTGTGTCTGGCACTGACTTTGTACCAGGACCTGTTTTAAGCAGTTTATATATCAATTAATTTTATTCTAATAATCATGAGGAAGGGTGTATTATCAACCCTGTTTTACAGATAAGGAAACTGAAGAACAGAGAAGTAACTTCAAAAGTACCTTCACATGGTATCAGAGCCAAGTTCAAACTCAGGGGAAATGTCTCCACATTTGTCACCACAGTGGTACCATCCACTAATGTGACAGGAGACCTTCCCCACATTTCTTTCCTCTTTGTATCAGACACATACTTTACATCATTGAATCAACAGAAGACAACTGAAAGCACATTAACTGCCTGGAAAAAAAAATGGAGTACAGACTATAGGAATATTTACATGAATATCTGATCTCTGAATAGTGAAGGAATTTAAGTATAATAAATTACAAAGAAAAAAATCTAAATATTTGACTATATAGCTGGATGTAGTGGATCCTGCCTATAATATCAACACTTTGGGAGGTCAAGGCAGGAGGATCACTGGAGGCCTAGAGTTCAAAACTAGTCTGTGCAACATAGCAAGACCCTATCTCTACAAAAAAATATTAAAAATACAAAAAGTTAGCCAGCATGGTGGTGTGCACCTTGTAGTCCTGGGTACTCAGGAGACTGAGGCAGGAGTTGAAGTTTACAGTGAACTATGATCACACCACCATGGTCCAGCCAGGGTAAGAGAGAGATAGTGTCTCTTAAAAAAATAAACATGAGTGCTGACACGGTTTCAGAGAGAAAGGAATGCTTATTCAAGTCTTTGATTTTTATCTGCTCATGGGGTGTCCCACCTGTTTCCCCAGTTCTGGCTGACTTGCCTCACCCCATGCTTCTGTAAAAAAAATAAAAAATAAATATGAGGCTGGGTATGGTGGGTCACACCTGTAATCCTAGCACTCTGCAAGTCCAAGACGGATGGACTGCTTAAAGCATAGGAGTTCAAGACCAGCCTGAGCAAGAGTGACACCCTGTCTCTACTAAAAATAGAAAAACTAGCTGGGTGTCATGGCACAGGCCTGTAGTCCCAGCTACTTGGGAGGCTGAGGCAAGAGGATTGCTCAAGCCCAGGAGTTTGAGGTTGCTGTGAGCTATGATGCTATCTCATTCTACCCAGGGTGACAGAGTGAGACTGCCTCAAAAAAAAATAAAAATAAATAAGCACACACAAAATTGACTATCAAAAAATAAAACTGGGCATCTAAAAAATTCACAAAATTATTTTACATTCATCAAACTAGGGAAAAGATTTGTCAAAAATATAACATTAAAAATATTAATGCCATCAGGATACAAAGAACTTAATTCATTAGGGAAAAAAATCCTAAGACAAACTGAAACATGGGAAAAGATAAAGAACAGATAATTCATACATAAAATAGTGATAAAGTTATCACTTACATTTAACTCTATCAACAGCTAAGTTTTCAAAATGTTTATCTCTAGCAGCAAAGAAATTTTCTCTGGCAAAACAGGCAAAGAATTTACATTGAAAATACTTCAGGCTCGGCGCCTATAGCTCAACCGGCTAAGGCGCCAGCCACGTACACCTAAGGTGGCAGGTTTGAATCCCCAGCCCGGACCCGCCAAATAACAATGATGGCTGCAACCAAAAAATAGCCGGGCGTTGTGGCGGGCGCCTGTGGTCCCAGCTACTCAGGAGGCGGAGGCAGGAGACTCGCTTGAGCCCAGGAGTTGGAGGTTGCTGTGAGCTGTAATGCCATGGCACTCTACCCAGGGGGACAGCTTGAGGCTCTGTCTCAAAAAAAAAAAAGAAAATACTTCAATGTTGCTACCTATACTGTTCCTCATTTAAATCCCCAAGGCACTTTATGACTCCCACGTGGTATAATTTCCTCTAGTTATATCCCTCTACTACAGAGATTCTTAATCTTTTGTGAACATTAGACGCTCTGATAAAAGCTCTCCTCAGAAAGATGCACCTGCACACCAATTTTGTACACTATTTCAAGAGGTTAACCAACCCCACTCAATGCTTTTTTAAAATACCAGCACTTCTAGATTTTAAGCTCTTTTTGGTCAGGCCTTTTTATTTGTCTTTGTGATCCATAAAGTGCCTACTACAGTATCTTCCACATTAACGGATAAAGTGAATAATGTCATTTTTATGACTAATGCAAAGTATTGGAAAAATATGTTCATATTTAACATTACCGACATCTTACTAACCACATCACATAATAGCTGCCTTTTCAGCATATTAAACACCTATTTTAAGGCTCAGGGAACAAACTAAGCCAGTGTTGGTCAGCTATTCCAACATTTTTATTATTTTCTAATACCACAATTTTGATGGCTACCTCATCCTGAAGAATGTCTTTCGTACCCAGAGGCAATTACAATAGAAATCTGCATGTCGCTGTAGCAATAATGCACCACAATAAAGCACTGTGAGTTCTTTTGTGTGTTCATTTCATCCACATACATGGACTGACCCAATGCTGAGCCCTGGCAACCCAGACTTTTGTAAACTATAGACACTGACCTCACAATTAAGGGGAAGAAAACATTTAACACAAAATTTTTACTGCTACTGAACCATAAACATCTCAAAAATGGACAACCGTGTTATTCATTTTCATAACACCAGTGCCTCACACTCCGTGGGCTCTCAACAAATATTAAATATTTGTGATGAGACTGAACTGCTGAATACTCTCAGAGATGTATGAAAAAAGTACTGGGTTCAGCTTCCCATTAAACAGATGGTTTGAATCAAATGTGACTCCAGCCTATAAAACTCCCAAGTCCTCATCTGAAAACTTCATACACATTCCTTCCAGAATGACTTGGCTCCCCAGTTGAGCCTGTAATAAAGCACAGAGTACCTTCTCTGGCAGAATTTCCATGAATCATCACTGCACAATTCAGTGCCTGCCCTTAGCACTACCCAGCTACAAACATACTGTCACAAGAGACGTTGACACTTAGATGACTCCGCAGCTCCAGGACTTCTGTCCTACTGGGTCACACTTATAGCTGAGATTTTAGTTGCCTTGCTTGGTAAACCAAAGTGAGAGTTCCCTCTTCTGTGCAGGGTGTGTCACTCTAAAAACTAAAGACATGTAAGCTTCTCTAGCAAGTAAGCATGCTGTGAACTCCTGCCAGGTCTGCTGGCCATGAAAAGCAGAGAGCAGGAGGCACTTCCAGCAGGATAGCTGACCCACAAAAGCTAATGTAGAGTTAGCCAAACTTTGGTCCCTCTCCCCTCCCTAATCTACTGCCCACCTATGGGAGTTGGCTGGGAAAGAAAACACCTCACTCTTTCTCCCTTTGTTTTATTTTATTTATTTTTAAGACAGAGTCTGACTTTATTGCCCTCAGTAGAGTACTGTGGCATCCCAGCTCACAGCAACCCCAAACTCTTGTCAAATTCTTGGGCTTAAGCGATTCTCTT